GAGGGATGTTCAAAAGCTGATGAGCGTCCTTGTGTTTTGTCTACTCCCACAGTGTGGGTTTAATTTTAGTAACTTGTCACAAGAATCAGAAAAGACAGGTTATCAAGATGAGGTTTCTTTCTCAAAGTTAGGTTAAATTTAAAATCCAACAAGACTATCAGAAGATGAGCCGTTTGTGGAAGGAGGGGCGAGGGAATGGTCATTAGGTGACTTGAGAAAACTTTGAGAGGCTTATGTGGCCACATAAAATTGGTGACATGTAATTTACATGTTTAATGGAATCGGTCTGTTCGTCTAATGTGCAGTAGCTATAGTTCATTTCCACTGGCCACTAAGTGTGTGGGTGTGTCTGTGTTACAAATGACTTGGTAGTCATCTCTGTTCTAGAGCAAATGAGCTTAAAGGATTATGCTTAGTGATGACTGTGTGCAATACATGAAAAGCTTTCAGAGCCCTGTATTACCCAAAGCTAATAGAATTACCTGTAGAAGATTCTGAAGCCCTGCAAGGACTGGGATCCTTGAAGGCCCAGATGTCTCCTGCCTTCCCAGACTTAGTTTCCCAGCACTTCCTGTGTGGACTCCGTCCTGCAGGCAGACTGAAGCAGGGAGCCCATGGCCTGGAGCATTTTGCATGCTCCCTTTGACATTCTTTTCTCTCTTAGGTGAATTTAAAGTCCACATTTCCTCCCCTCCAGGTCAGGATTTTGGCAGGTAATTTGTGATGTTACCAGTTCTTTAGCCCCTTGGAAGCATCACCTATTCATGCATCCACTGAACCTGCTGTCTTGGTCCTGAAACACTGCAGAGAGCGAACATTTTGTTGTATTTAAGTAACCAGTGTTCTTTCTTCCCCCCTTTCTGTGGTGGATACAATGCTAATTTTCATAATCAGATGCTGACGTGGAAGTTAAGATTGTCAACCAAGTATACTCATTACCATTTTATTTCATCAAAGTAAGGGGGAAAATATGCTGTCCTCCTGAAAACTCTTATTTTAACCAGGGGCTTTGGGCTGATAATTAAATGCCATCTTACTAAAAGAATGCTGAATTCTAAAGACCATTTTGTATGGTCTATACAAACACCTCATATAAGTGGTTACTTTTGAAACTTGGCAAAATTGAAGGATTATCTGGGGCCTCCAGGGACTTCGTTGGTGGTGCATTTATTACTATGAGAAGCATGAGTACGTTTCACTGTGCGTGCGCCGATCTACCAGCCCCTGGGGGACCTACATGCTTTATCATGTCTTTTGCTCAGTGTTTACTTATGACTGTGGGAGGGCAAATGTACTTTTGGTATAAACCTTCAGCTAGTACCTGTTTCCATCTTGTACCCCCAGTCCTGCAGCTGGGGAGGATGGCTCACTGGACGTGTGATGTACACAACCCGTCTCAAGTCTACTTGCTTTTGGTGATTGTCTGCTGTGAGGTATGTTCTAAAGATGGTGTCTCCTCCCAAATCCATCTCCACCCAACAGGTCTATAGGGGCTCTCCTGACCTATAGGCTGTGGCCTTTTCTCTGCATAGCAAGAATCATAGTACGTCAAAATGTTTTTTATTTGAGACACAAAAATGCAAAATTGCTGAGATATCAAACATTTCCCGATCAGCTACAATACTGTCACTATGTACAAAAGATCTGATGATAAATGTGCACACATATAAAAATACATATGCATTACCTATGTACAGTACATGTGCAAAACGTACAGCATTCAGACATGGTACGGAGTTGACTTCAGGGGTGCAAACAGCAAAATACAAAGGCATCATGGTTTTTCTTTAAAAAAACAACATAAAGGCAATACATGAATGGACCCCCGATTGCCATATCTTTTGTTTACTCAACTAGTGCTTTAATAAGCAGGGCTCTGTAGATTGGTATCTTTCTCCTTTTTTTCATAAAGTGAGATGCTAAGACATAATGTGACCATGAAAATAAGAAGAGAAACACCTATCACGTTGCGTTTCTATTGCAAGCCAGAGAAGAGGAGAACTGATTTGCACATAGAAAGGAAGGAACTTTTTGTATTACTACTAAATATACATGATCCTTAAATCAACAAAACAAACCTATGCTATTTTTACATGAAAACAATAGAGAAATATCTACATCTTTGTGAAAATCATAACCTTAAATGGGTAATACCTTTTTGGGATCTCATTAGCCTCAAATTCTAAATAAAAAGTGCCTCCTTTTGGCAAATACTTGGCAATGCCTTTGGTTCCTTTAAAGCAAGTTTGCATTACTATTGGTTACTTGAGGTTAAGTATTTTTGGTAGATACTAAACCCTTTCCTAAGCATTTCTTCCCCCAACCAAATTAGCAAGTGTCCTTACAGCATAATGTAGAGAGGTAACTGTGATGAGTCTTGGTGATTCTATGAACTTGGTTAAAGCTCTGCCTTAGTAGTTGGCACAAAGCTCTGTTAAATGCGACAGCTGTGTTGGTATCGCCAGTGACATGTTTTGATTGCTTCCAGACAGCACCTTGTTGAGCTGAGATTGCCACCCTGTTGTCACAAAACTGTGATTTCCCAATAATGCTTCACAGAACAATGTGTTCATGGAGGGTAAGAGCTCTTTTGTAAACATGTGCAGCCTTTCGAAGCACAGGCCTCAAACCAAGGATGTCAGGTAGAAACCCTCTGCAGTGACATACTTCCTTGAACACAGGAGAGGGTGAGCGGGTGAGGCTGCAGACCTCTAGTTTATTGTCATGCAGACAGAGTCCCTTCACAGGTGAAAATGAAGCCCAGAAAGATCCTTGAATGAGTAAGTTATGAAGATTTGAATCAGGGAATCAGGGAAAAGAAATACTACATCTTAATAGTTACTTTCCAGTTCTGACTGAAACCACTTAAAAGATGAGTGGAGATGCAGGTAGGATGCTCTCCAAAGACACATTTCTGCCTTTGTAAGCTGTGTTCCTTGATAAACCTGACTTTCCAGTTAACATTCTTTGGTAATTTGGTTGAATTTTCTGGCCTCCAGGCCAGTGGGCAGTTTGGTGCTCTGCTCCGTTGCCAGAAGTCGCCAGGACTCAAATGCAGGGAGGGATAGCAACACACAGGGGGTTATTTGTGAAATCTGGCTGAATGGACCTGGGTTGTTCTGCTGGTTGACACTGAATCGCTGTTCTCACTCAAGTTTTCTACAACGTTCCCAGGGTGCTTGGTGCTCCCCACCAGCACAATGGCGCGAGGGTGGGTACTGAGCCCACAAAACACCTCCCGCTTCCCCAAGGCTGAGCCTGCTGCGGACAGTGGCGGGCCTATCCCGCCACTTGTGGGGATAGCTGGTTTGTCAGCGATGGCTGCTCCCAGCCTGGGAACTCTGAAGGGCCTCTGAGGAAAGCTATGTGGCCGGGAAGGGTCTGGGCTGTGGGGGTAGAGGTGGCCTGAGTCAACTCTGGTGCTCAGATGGGTGACGTGCCTGGTACCACGCTCAGGGCGCACTGACTGCACACTTCAGCGGCGTGATCTTGTGGCTGGGACTTGGCCTTGAGCTGAGAGGCAGCAGCCTTGAGGACGCAGCAGACTGCCTTTGCCCCTGTTCCAAGCTGCACTTGCAAAAGTATCAGCTGGGTGGGTCATGGAACTGTGCAGTTTTGGAAAAGGGAACTGAAGTAAGATCTCCTTATATTAAAAAAATATTCATCCAAAACAAACAGATATAGTATGTGAGCAGAAACTTCCATGAATTCAGAATACATCTATAATTAAAACATGTGGCAAATACTATACAACAGATTGCACGTTTCAGGAGAAACACTAAAATGTGAATGCTAACCCTGTCCTAACAGCTTTCCTAGTACATGCTTTGCTGAAATGTACAAGATGACCATATACCTCTAGGCTTCCAAACTCTGTAGAAGCTTTGGTATAACCTTGTTCATTCCACCCCCAATGACGTGACCTGACACTTACATACACCAGAAAGGCAGGATACTACTGTACTTCAGGAATATTTAGGATAGTAGTTGGCACAAAGCTCTGTTAAATGCGACAGCTGTGTTGGTATCGCCAGTGACATGTTTTGATTGCTTCCAGACAGCACCTTGTTGAGCTGAGATTGCCACCCTGTTGTCACAAAACTGTGATTTCCCAATAATGCTTCACAGAACAATGTGTTCGTGGAGGGTAAGAGCTCTTTTGTAAACATGTGCAGCCTTTCGAAGCACAGGCCTCAAACCAAGGATGTCAGGTAGAAACCCTCTGCAGTGACATACTTCCTTGAACACAGGAGAGGGTGAGCGGGTGAGGCTGCAGACCTCTAGTTTATTGTCATGCAGACAGAGTCCCTTCACAGGTGAAAATGAAGCCCAGAAAGATCCTTGAATGAGTAAGTTATGAAGATTTGAATCAGGGAATCAGGGAAAAGAAATACTACATCTTAATAGTTACTTTCCAGTTCTGACTGAAACCACTTAAAAGATGAGTGGAGATGCAGGTAGGATGCTCTCCAAAGACACATTTCTGCCTTTGTAAGCTGTGTTCCTTGATAAACCTGACTTTCCAGTTAACATTCTTTGGTAATTTGGTTGAATTTTCTGGCCTCCAGGCCAGTGGGCAGTTTGGTGCTCTGCTCCGTTGCCAGAAGTCGCCAGGACTCAAATGCAGGGAGGGATAGCAACACACAGGGGGTTATTTGTGAAATCTGGCTGAATGGACCTGGGTTGTTCTGCTGGTTGACACTGAATCGCTGTTCTCACTCAAGTTTTCTACAACGTTCCCAGGGTGCTTGGTGCTCCCCACCAGCACAATGGCGCGAGGGTGGGTACTGAGCCCACAAAACACCTCCCGCTTCCCCAAGGCTGAGCCTGCTGCGGACAGTGGCGGGCCTATCCCGCCACTTGTGGGGATAGCTGGTTTGTCAGCGATGGCTGCTCCCAGCCTGGGAACTCTGAAGGGCCTCTGAGGAAAGCTATGTGGCCGGGAAGGGTCTGGGCTGTGGGGGTAGAGGTGGCCTGAGTCAACTCTGGTGCTCAGATGGGTGACGTGCCTGGTACCACGCTCAGGGCGCACTGACTGCACACTTCAGCGGCGTGATCTTGTGGCTGGGACTTGGCCTTGAGCTGAGAGGCAGCAGCCTTGAGGACGCAGCAGACTGCCTTTGCCCCTGTTCCAAGCTGCACTTGCAAAAGTATCAGCTGGGTGGGTCATGGAACTGTGCAGTTTTGGAAAAGGGAACTGAAGTAAGATCTCCTTATATTAAAAAAATATTCATCCAAAACAAACAGATATAGTATGTGAGCAGAAACTTCCATGAATTCAGAATACATCTATAATTAAAACATGTGGCAAATACTATACAACAGATTGCACGTTTCAGGAGAAACACTAAAATGTGAATGCTAACCCTGTCCTAACAGCTTTCCTAGTACATGCTTTGCTGAAATGTACAAGATGACCATATACCTCTAGGCTTCCAAACTCTGTAGAAGCTTTGGTATAACCTTGTTCATTCCACCCCCAATGACGTGACCTGACACTTACATACACCAGAAAGGCAGGATACTACTGTACTTCAGGAATATTTAGGGATGTAAGACTGGATGTGAGAAAATATGTTTCTAGGAGTTGGCTGTTTTCTTGGCAGTGTGATATTCTGCAAACTGACATACAACTTCTGCATACTGGAAATCCAACCGGCTGTGCTGACTTGTGCTTTAATGGCTCTGAAACTCGTCTTAAACAATAAAAATTTCTTTAGTAAACACATACCTTTCCCATTGTACTTACCAATATGTACAATGAATTAAGTTAGACGGGCCTTGAATACAGTGTCACCTTTGGTCATGTTGTATGTTGCACATGGTCTGTGTCCTCACCTGACTTTGACATGAAGCTGGGACCCTGGAGAGCAGCTCCAATGTCATGGATGCCTGGCTGCTGCTCAAACCAGGACAGGAGGGCCCAGTGGAATGGTGCAAGTGGTGGCTGGTAGAATTAATAACTAGAGACTCTTGCCTTCCTTTTAAAGGAAATGCCGATACATAAAGGTTTGAACACATATGTGCAGTGTGTACTTAAGCAATTTGCAGTCAAAAGAGCAGGCTAATGAGATGGCATTTTTTGCACAGCAGAATGTATTTTTGGAGAGCAACGTTCCTGTGTCATGTTGCATAACTTAGTTTGAAAAAGCAAAAGGGGAAATGAGGGCTAGAAAAAGATGTAGGTCCACAGCTCAGGATGATGAGAGAAAGTCATTCAAGAGTCAACAGCACTAGCTGCTCAGTTGCCTCCAACAGTCCCGCAGATATTTGGTGTTAATAAGCCATTTAAATCTGAATGAAGATGATGTTCAGAGGGCCGCATTCTGGTCCACAGAGCCTTACGAGATCCCATGTGCCGTTACCAACTTCTGAACATATAAACTGCTCACTGCAGACCACACCCAGCATGACCACCTCTGCCTTGAATCGTTCAGAAGTGCTTTCACATTGGGAAAAGAGACTTTTCTTACATGTAGTAAATGTTACAAACCAAAATGAAAATTTTAAATAAATTTGTCCAAGATCAGCTCAATCCCAGAAATGATTCACAAATTCTTTCCAGATAATGGGTCAGGTTGCCCCTTGCATGTCATTGTGGGAATATTCACTGCTTACTGATCCAGAGAAGGCCACCTCCCCACTAGCCTTGACACAAGTGGGATAGTGTTATTTAACAAAACCTCCATGCTTTTTGGTAGAGTTCAGTTTTTTTTTTCTTTTTCAGTTACTTATATTTTACAATATACTTAAATGACTACCTTGAAATAGTTTTGGAAATCTTGCAATAGTTGGCATTTTAGAATATTCTTAAGAAACTACCCAACAAATATGTGATCACTTTTTTTCTATACAAAAAACTACTAATAAAATCTCCAGTTTTCCAATCTTCGGCTTGATAATATAGTGAGAGCTCGGGTGTGACATCCAGTTACGAGCCTGTAAAATGATAACCAGAGGTAAGGGACAGAGGCAGGGTGGCCAGAGCTGGGATCAGAAGCCAACCTGGCGACACAGTCTAACCTGTAACCTTCACGGGCAGGTCCGGGGTTGATGGCTTCTTCTCCCTTGTCTTCTCTGTGCAACTCACCAGCTCAGAGAGTTTACGCTAAAGCCTTTTCTTGGTTCTTTGAGATGGGTCTGGTTACCTGAAATTAGTCAGCAATTCTCTAAATACAGAAATACATGTGGCTCAAGTACTCTAGAGATATTCGAGTTATTAAAACAAGTAGGACCACTGGACACCCGATTCCTTAGCCCCAATGCAAGCTGTACAAATAACCATGTCAGAGTGTACATACAAATGCCTAATATACACATTAAAATTCATCTAATCAACCCAGAAAGTTGCTAATAGAATTTTCAGTGTTATCAATATACCTGGACTTTTTACAGTGGATTGTTCACAACAGTATTTTGTAGACATTGGTTCTGGTGAAAGATTTTCCATTTAAATTTGTTTGGAAATCTGAAGAAAGATTCCAAAAATCGTAAAATAAACTACAACACAAAAAAATTACACTGGTTTCTGAATGGAACAAGAAGTCTTCAGCTGAAGGCCGTCACTGAACTGGCTGGTGCCCTTCAGGGCCTGAGCCTTGGCTGGGCTGAGGCCATGTCTAGGATAAGCCACGTGCAGCGACCTGTCACTTCCCTCACACTGGTGTTCATTTCTGAGCAGTACTGTCTGCATCCTGCCTGGGGCCTCAGGAGGTAGCACAGAGGTGGGGGTGCCCCTGACTACCAATGAGTCTCCACATCGTCATCCTGCACACTTTGCTCACTCTTTGTGGTTTTAACTAAAGGACTCCTCATTCCTTAGTGAAGTCTGGGGAAACAGGTGGGTCTTCTTTGACTAGTGGTTTTCAGAAAGCCCTGTGCTGCTGAACGGTGTAAATGCACTGCTAGATGCAGTGAGGGGCTTTCACACTTGGTGTCCAGGCCATGACCTTCTATCTGTTCTTTCTGTGACAACATGTTTTAATTGCAGTGATGCAACTATGGCTCTGTGCTAAAAACTGATTGATTAGAATCACTTTCATCTTTTAAACCCATGAGCTCTGAGACAAGAGGTCTGTGACATTAGTCCCATGGCAACGGTAGGTCTTGTGGGTCCAGAAAGTCGGCAGAGAACATGCTCGGGGCGGCAGCACTGAGAGGGGTGAGGCCAGATGACGTGTTAGGCATAGTGAGGTCCAGCCACTCCATATTGTCCAGGTTTGAGTCAGAAAGGTCAAGGGACAGACAGGGGGTACTTGCAGCAAACTGGGCCTCGGCAGTTTCCATAGGTGAGTGGGAATGGTCCAGCACACCCGAGTGACTTAGCAGGTCATTCTGGAGATCCTCGATCAGAGAGAAGGGCTCTCGGTCATCACTGCTGCTCTGCAGGGGAGCTATTTCATTGGCTGAAGGTAAAGTTCCATCCAAGAAAGCTTCTAGTTGGTTCTCTAAGCTGGCAGATAAACTGCTCATAGGCTCTAAGGATATGGGTGGTGCCATTTGGACTTGGGGTGGTGGCCGGGACACCACTGTGTTGACTGGCATTGTGGTGATGCTCGCTGTCACTGGTCTCATTTTGGAAATAGGAGAAGGCTCCTCTTTTATAGGGAAGGAAATTTCTGTGCAAGATTAAGTGAAATGATTAGTAACAGTTTACTATTATTTGAAAGTTTTTATCAGTTACCAGGATAATTATTTGGCGATGACTTACGTGCAGTCTAGCTTTGAGGTAGGAAAAAAATGCAACTGATCAGGGACAGACATTAAGAACCTTTAGGATGATGGATTATTTTATTTAAACATGTAAGTTTATAACATTCTCATATCTAAAGCATAAGCACAGAAAGCAATTACACACCACTAGCTAGGAGCCAATGGTTTTAGATTATTTGATCTTTGGGTCCTTTTTCTCAATCACTTTAGGGTTAAGACAGGGTTCTTGTCTTATCTGCTATCACAGCAGTGTGCCACCCTTAAAAGTCCATCCTTAATATTATGAAAGAGCTAATTGTATACATTTTATAGTTGAACTAGGTGCCCAATTAGCCATATGTATTTTGTATAACATTCTGAAAAGTTAAATATCATCTACATCCTTTCTGAATTAAAACTAAAGCACAGCTCCTTTGACCTGCTTCAAGATAAGGTGTATCACCATATTTTTCTCTTTTGTCTTGTTTTCTGAGTTTATATAAAATGTTGAGAATTTCATAAATGTTTTATTTAAGCACTAATTATATTATTCCTTGCTAGATCAAGAAGAAAATCAATGGGCCATATGCTATAGATACTTAAAAAGGTTTGAATAAAGTTCTTATCTTTTTACTTTCTTATGAGGATCTGATTGGTTTCATTTATATACATATACACTAGAAAAAATGAATTTAGTAATAGTTTGTACAACTCAATGATTGGGATGCCTGAATGAGAACTTGAGATTTGATTCCTATGTGTTCACTGCCAACTGTGTGGACTGGTGTTTTTAGGACAGTTTATGTTGCTCTTCATTATAGTCACATCTGGAATTGTTTTGAGAACTGAAAGTGCAGTCTCAGGAGTCTTACAATCAGCTATTTAAATCTCTGTTCTTATCACTGGTATTAGTATAAAATAATATAGTCATTGGATAATAAATTTTGCCATTAAAAGAATCATTCCTTCTTAGAGGATAACTGTTTAATGACTTGACACATTTTAATTTCCAAGTTTAGGCTGGAAAAAAATTATTCTTTTTCATCATTTAAAAAAGTCATTATTTTCACCAGAGTTGGCAAAAAGCATTTTTTAAAGAAAATCTTAAATTCAGGCCAAAGAATGTCAGTTTCTTTAATTTACAGTTTAGATATATCATGAGTTTGTTATTGTGCAAGGCCAGCATAGTTTTTAGCAAAAAAATGCTATTTTCATTTGTAGATCTGTAGTCAAACATCAAGAATTTCCTGTTATGCCAACATTATGACAAGATTATTAACCTCAAAATCAAATAGTACCTGCTATAAATGGAGAAATTTTCATCACTATTTAAAAACTCCTTTTATCAAGGTAATTTAACAATACTTTAAAATATTCCAAAATAGCATTTATTTTTAAAGATGAGTATCTTAGATTTTGTGGTTAATGTCCCTTTTTAAGATGATACATTGTAAAATCTAAGATTTTCAATCATATGTAGAAAGTGCTTTAGAATTGCCTTTGACTTTTAATACAGGTACTAGAGTCCAATTTAATTAACTTGGTTGTTATAAAATTAACCCATGAATTGGGAGTTTTTATTTAATCACGATGACATACATATGGAACAAGTTTTGAAGTTTTTCAATGTGGAATTTAAATCTGGTTCTACTTTGCTATTTTGAGATGGTCTGTCTTTTTCAGCAGGCATGTATCTATAGATAAATCTAATACTGTAAGTTTTAATGGCCTAAATTTTACAGATTTAAAATAATAAATTCAGTAAGAATTAGAAGAATATGTTTCTCACTACTCAAAGATATGCTGTGAGCTCTGGAGGAAAACATTGACAAACTTGTAATGATAGGTCACTTTCCATGGGGTCTGATGTGACTTCTGACTTACCTCCACTCTTAATGAGGATATCAAAGAGGTCGTCCATCTGCTGACTGTGTGCATTGGCAATCTACAACAAAGGAGAATGTAGCTTAGCTTTCTTTCAGACAAATCTGAAAGCATGATACAACTGGGGGGCCTCACAGAATATCTAGTTCTACTCTATCATTTGGTAATTTTGAAAACACTGAGCTTGCCTGAGACATTAAGCCATTTTCCCAATGTACATGTCCCTTATTTTTTTAAATCACTGATTGCATTTTTAGAGGCCTCTGATACTCTTCTAACAATATCTTTATTAATCTGCATTTACCTAAAAATATAAGGTGTGGATAAGGGTGAATATACTACGTTTTTCAGCTTTATTCAGAGTTCCCTGACATACTACACTTAGAATACAGTTTGATAGTTTTATGGGTGTGTATGTAATGTCAAAACTTATCACCAAATCAAGGTAATGAACACATCCATTGCCCCTGAAGTTTCCTCATGCGTTTGTAATACAGTTGACCCTTGAACAACACGGGGGTTAGGGAGTGCCAACCTCCCCGCCCCCCAGCAGTCAAAAATCCGTGTATAACTTTTGACTCCTCCAAAACTTAGCTATTAATAGCCTACTGTTGACTATAAGTCTTACTGATAACATAACATTATACATTGTATTCTTACAATAAAGTAAGCTAGAGAAAATGTTTTCCAAATTGTCACAAATCTCCAAAAATTTTTCCAATATATTTATTGAAGAAAATCTGCACTTAAGTGGGCCAGGACAGCTCAAACTCATGTTGTTCAGGGTCTGCCTCATCCCCAGGCAACCCGGTGATCTGCTTCCTTTGATTATAGGTTAGCTTACATTTTAAGAGTTCTCTACAAATGGATTTATACAGTAGGTACTTTTTCTGAGGGTGGAGGAGGCTTCTTTCATTCAACATAGTAATTGTGAGATTTATCCATGTGTAGAATATACCTCAGGACTAGTTCATTTCTCTTACTTCACTGTATGGAAATACTACATTTTGTTTGGTTGTTTTAATTTCTTTGGCTACTATAAAGTGCTGTGAGCCTTTGTCCACAAGTCTTTGTGTAGACATATACCTTCTTTTCCTTTGGGCACATACCGGGTGGGATGCCAGCATCATGGCGTAGGTACGTGTGGTGACTTTACCTTTCCACCAGCTGTGCGGTGTTCCACTTCGACACTCACAACACCTGGCATGGTCAGTCATTTTTATGGTATGGTAGTGGCTGTGGTTTTAATGGGAGTTTCTCTGATGACTAAGAACGCTGATGCTTTCCTGGGCTTACCTGCCATCTGTGTATCTTCTTTGGTGAAATTTCTGTTCAAATCCTCTGCCTACTCCAGACTTCTGCATACTGTTTGCATGGTATATATTTTTCCAATTATTTACTTTCAACCTGCATCTTTGTATTTAAAGTATGCCTCTTGTAGATGCATATATTATCGATTGCTGTCTTACAAATGACTCCCCAAACACGAAACAATTATCTCACAGTTTCTGTGGGTCAGGAATGTAGGAATGCATTAGGTGGGTAGTTCAGGCTCTTTCATGAGGTTGCAGTCAGGATGATAGCCAAGCACAGCTATGTCCAGGCATGGCTGGAGAGGTCCTTGCACAGGTGGCTCACTGTGACTGACAGGTTGGTGCCGATGATGGGAGGCATCAGTTCCTCTTCACACAGGCCTCTCCAGAGGGCTTCACATGGCCTGACAGCTGGCGTTCCCCACAGTCAGCAATCCAAGAGGGAGCAGGGCAGGACGGGCCTGGCTTTTGTGATCTGCCAATTCTGTTTGTTAGAACCGAGTCATAAAGTCCATGCCCGGGCGATTGCAGATCTGTCTAAAAATCCCTACATGGCATTATCATTGGGGTCTGTTTTTCATCCATTCTGATAATTTTGGCATTTTAATGGTACTGTTTACTTCACTAGTGTGTCTTGTGTAATTGATACGGTTAAGTTTGGGTTTACCATTTTATTTGACCTGTTTTTTGTTCCTCTGTTCTTGTCCTTGTAATATGTATTTTTTTGAATGCTAACTTATCTATTTTTAAATACATCCTTTTTATAGACTACTTAAATTTGTACCATTGCATATAAAATAAAAAACCCTTGAAAAAATTGAGAAAATATGACTCTTTCTCAAGGAAAAAGGCAATCCACCTTGTAGATTCACTCATTTCCTCCATCTTTGATTAGATAAGTATTACATCTGTGTTTTATAAACCCTTCAAGGCAATGTTATTTTTTATAGTGCAGATTTTCTGTGATGAATTGTTAATTCTTCTTTACCTGAAAAATCTCTCTAGTTCACTTTCCTTTTTAAAAGATATTTTAACTTGATATAGAACATCGAGGCTGGCAATCCCTTCCACCTTCTTCCCCTCTAAGAACCTTAAAGGTGATGTTTTATTTTCTGGCCTCCACAGCCACTGCGGGTGGCTGTTCCCATCTGTATCGCACTGCCTTTCTCTTGAAGCTTTCAAGATTTCTCTTTAACCTTGGCTTTCAAGAATTTGACTGTGATTAATGACTAAGCCTTCTATTTATCCTGCTTGGCGTTCCCTGACCATCTCCAAGATGTAAACTTGTCGTTCATCGTATTGTGAAAAATTTGACCATTATTTCTTAAAATATTTTACCTGTCTCAATTCTCTCACTCCTCTCCTGGACTCCTGTAATACCCAAGTTAGACTGTTTGTTATTAAATAACAGGTCTCTGAGTCTCTGTTCACCTTTATAAAAATCTTTTTTTCTGTTCAGATTGGATAAGTTGTACTGATCTTCAAGCTGACTGACCTTTTATCTCTGTCATCTTCATTCTGATAATTTTTTTTTCATTTTAGATATTGTATTTTTGAATTTCAATTCCATTAAAAAATTATTTCTATATTTGCTTACATTCCTTATCTTTTCATTCACTATGAATATATTTTCTTTAAAATCCTTGTTGGCAAATTCTTGTATCTGGACCAGCTGGGGATTGGTTTTGGTTGGTTGCCTTTTTCCTTGAAAAAGAGTCACATTTTCTCAATTTTTTGTATATTGCATATTATAAATAGCTATTATCAAATTGATGAGTGGTTTCTTTCGTTTTAAGCAGGCAATTTGGACCTGACCTTTAAAATGTTTCTGGGGCAGAAATTTTAGTCTCAGTTCAGATCTTTGTCCAGCTGAGCTGCTGAGACTCTACTTCGTACCTCTGTGGCTTAGGGGTCAGCCAGAGATGTGTGGAGGCAGAATTTAGGGGTGTCCTCTCGGGTTCTTTCCCTTCTGGGCTGATCTTAGTTCCGTCCTCTGGTTTCCCAGAGGATGGAACCTTTGTGCTATGGTTTTTCTACCAGTCACTCCACTAGTTAGCTTGACCCCAGAGTAAAAGCAGCAAAAAAGGGAACTCATGCCAAATTCTTCCCTTCCTCTGAGTGTGGAGTTCTCATCAGAATATGACTACTTCTATTTACTCTTCAATGCCTTCACATAGTTGCCTTTGTATTACAACCAGGCTTTATAGCTGTCATCTGTGGGAAGACTGTGAACCAGTAGGGCCTTAGCCAACAGTGAAGTTGAAGTCCAAGTAAATATATTTGAAAAACCTTAAAATTCCTGCAGTTTGATGCTCAATGGCATATAAAAACATACTACTGATAGCTACTCTTTTGAATACCAGAAAATGATACAGAATTTGGCTATATCATTTTATAAACATTAACCAGAGACAGGTAAATGGCAGGATTCCAGTCAGCTGTCTTAGATTAAGGTGGTAGTGAGTATTAACCTACATATGAAATCCAAGTTTGGAAGAAGGACTGCTACATTTTCTTAAAAGTTACAGTTAAGCTCTGCGATTTACATCACCTCTGCCCCCACCTGGAGAGAATAGACGTCACTTCTGAATGGATGGGGGAGGACAGTGTAGCCCAGCACATGGACCTGACCTTTAAAATGTTTCTGGGGCAGAAATTTTAGTCTCAGTTCAGATCTTTGTCCAGCTGAGCTGCTGAGACTCTACTTCGTACCTCTGTGGCTTAGGGGTCAGCCAGAGATGTGTGGAGGCAGAATTTAGGGGTGTCCTCTTGGGTTCTTTCCCTTCTGGGCTGATCTTAGTTCCGTCCTCTGGTTTCCCAGAGGATGGAACCTTTGTGCTATGGTTTTTCTACCAGTCACTCCACTAGTTAGCTTGACCCCAGAGTAAAAGCAGCAAAAAAGGGAACTCATGCCAAATTCTTCCCTTCCTCTGAGTGTGGAGTTCTCATCAGAATATGACTACTTCTATTTACTCTTCAATGCCTTCACATAGTTGCCTTTGTATTACAACCAGGCTTTATAGCTGTCATCTGTGGGAAGACTGTGAACCAGTAGGGCCTTAGCCAACAGTGAAGTTGAAGTCCAAGTAAATATATTTGAAAAACCTTAAAATTCCTGCAGTTTGATGCTCAATGGCATATAAAAACATACTACTGATAGCTACTCTTTTGAATACCAGAAAATGATACAGAATTTGGCTATATCATTTTATAAACATTAACCAGAGACAGGTAAATGGCAGGATTCCAGTCAGCTGTCTTAGATTAAGGTGGTAGTGAGTATTAACCTACATATGAAATCCAAGTTTGGAAGAAGGACTGCTACATTTTCTTAAAAGTTACAGTTAAGCTCTGCGATTTACATCACCTCTGCCCCCACCTGGAGAGAATAGACGTCACTTCTGAATGGATGGGGGAGGACAGTGTAGCCCAGCACCATTCATTTCAGTTCTTTTCATTAATGTATAAACCCGTTTCTGAAATTTGACTTTTCCCTCACAGATAAGGGCCACGTCTGAGCCTGGAATGTTTCACAGCTAGAAAAGTTATCTTCCTTCAGCACGAAGCAAATGCAAAGCAGCATGTGGTAGCTGCTTCCTCAGGGTGGTAGGTGCCTGGCAGGTACTGAGCAGTTTGTGGCAATTAAACAGGTCAAGGTGACCGGCTTGTTTGCTGCAGAAAGTGCTGACTGAAACCGTGGCCCCGTACAACCCACCAGGCTGAATCAAGTGACCCAGAGAATGAGGGGGGGGGAGGAACCGGCACCGCTATGCTGATGTGCTTGCTGTTTGTTGTATGAAAATGTGTCACATCTTATCCACTGTTAGCACCCATGGGTGATGTCAGCTTCCCTCCTCTGAAGCTAGGAAGACCTCAGGTCTGGCCCCTCCAGAGTATATTCATTTGCTCAGTAGATGAGCAGAGGGTGGTGGGATGGCTTGATGGGTAGCAGGGTGTAGAGGGACCTGTATAAAAATACATGCCCAGCCACAGCCACATCTGTCCCTAACATGACCATTCCCTGACCCCAAAGTTAAAGACAAACCCTGGATTTTTGAGTAAGTAGGAATTGCAGATTATACAGCTACTGAACTCTTTGGGAGTGTTCATAGTGGCTAATGTTTTGATTTTAAATAGCATTTAAAATGTAAACAAGCCTCAACAGTAGTAATTTCACAGCGAGGAGCCAAGTTTATTTTGGATGGATTCGATCTGAGGATGTCATACCAAGTCTAAGCCTGTGGATGGTGGCCACTGGTCTCACTCACCTCTGGAAGAGAGGACTGGGCACTGCGTGTCTGCTTGATGGCTTCTTCATAGCGGGGAGGGTCTTTTGTCTTGGGGACTGGGCTCCCAAACAGAGAGTGCTGGATGACAAACTGCTGGGCTGGTGGGGGTGAACTAGGCTGCAGCAAACAGAGGAGGGGCACATGTCAGCTCTGGGTGGTAATCCTTCCCCACCCCTGGTGGGTATCTACTGTGGGAAGGGTCAGCTTCACAGTGGTACCAGCTAAGCTCCCCCTTAGCAATTGTTAACACGGTATTTTTTGGCTATTCCACCCCATTCATGCCGATGCTTAGTTGCTCCAAGTCTATAGCCCGGGGCCTGGGGATGGTTTTGTACCCTGGTAAGCACTGTTCCTGCTGCATGGCCGTCACGGGATTACCTTGTTGGGAGTGTTAGGTCCATTCTGCAGGGATGGAAGTGGTGCATTTCTGGATTGAAGAATGCTGTTGGCTGTCTTACTGATAAAGGGCTGCTGGACTGCGGGAGCAGGTGGTCTCTGATATGGAAGCACTGTATTTGATGCCGAGTTTGTGAAAACCTGTTATGAACAAATATTTTCCCATCAATTTGTTCTGTTCTTCCTAATAAAGAAAACCATGTTTTAACAACAGGGGTCAGCAAACATTTTCCTTAAAGGGCCACAAAACATAGTTTGCAGGCCTGCAGCCTCTGTTGGAACTGCTCACCTCTGCAGCACAGAAGCAGCCTAGACAATGTATGGCTGGGTTCGGCCCACAGACGATGGTTTGCTGACTGTTTTTTGAGTGTCAGCGGTCCTGCACTCAGTGGCCTTTGACGGCAGTGTGGCCGGTGCTCTGTGGGCAAGCAGCATTTGCTCGTGTCCTAACAGCTCCATTTCATCTACATACTCCTAATAAGGGTGATCTCATCTGTTCTCGTGGCTTTATTCACGATTAAGCTAACAATCCCCAAGCCCACCTCTCTCATAGTCTTGCTCCCAAGTGCCAAAGCTACATTTATAACATTTACAAATGGGACATCTCAAATTTATCTGTTCCAAATGAAACTCTCCCTTTTCCTCCCACCATCCCCAGCCTCTGAGGGAAAGTAAGCCTTGCTTTTGCCTTATTTTAAATGGCAATGGTAAAGGAGCCAACAGCCCCCTCTGCTAGCCTCCAGGCTGTGCCTCTCAACTTCTACTGCAATTACAGTCAACACTGCAACCAAGTCCCTCTCCTGCCCGGGCACCTCTGTCCTTAGGGTAAACCTTAATCTTTGGCTGTAAACCTTCTTACTATCTGGCCCCTTTTCCATCCTACCCAAAAGGCTACACATGCCTTGGCCACACTCAATTTTTCAGTTTTGTAGTTTCTCTAAATCCTATTAGCAAGGCCCCAGTTAAAATCTGCCCTCTTTTGAGAAGCTGTCTGCTCTGTCAGACGGAGGTGAGGACTATCTTCCTGTGGAACTATAAAGTGTTTTGTTTAGCCCCCATTAAGAGCCAAAGGTTTTACGGCCTTTTATAAATATAGACCACACTTGATATTGTAACTATATTTCACAGTACCAGTTTGCTTGTAAAAATATTATTTAATAGACCACATACAAGGTCACAAAAAGAGCCTCAGTAAATTCAAAAAGACTGAAATTCTACCAACCAACTTCTCAGACCACAAAGGCATAAAACTAGAACTAAATTATACAAAGAAAGCAAAAAGGCTCACAAACACATGGAGGCTTAACAACATGCTCCTAAATAATCAATGGATCAATGACCAAATTAAAATAGAGATCAAGCAATATATGGAGACAAATGACAACAGCACAAAGCCCCAACTTCTGTGGGATGCAGTGAGAGCAGTTTTAAGAGGAAAGTATATAGCAATCCAGGCATATTTACAGAAGGAAGAACAATCCCAAATGAATAGTCTAAAGTCACAATTATTGAAATTGGAAAAAGATGAACAAATGAGGCCTAAAGTCAGCAGAAGAAGGGACATAATAAAGATCAGAGAAGAAATAAATAAAATTGAGAAGAATAAAACAATAGAAAAAAAAA